TGCAGATCAAATATTAAAAGCTGCAATTTGATTGGCTCTCTCTAAATGCAAACCTCCCTAAATACACGTTTTAGACTAGTCTGTATATATTGCATTTATGGAGATTTGACTGTATTATTTTTAGTATTTATATTAGAGATAATAAAAATATTTTTTACTATTTTAAAATATATCAAGTATAAGATATCCAAAATTATACTATTAATAATACTAAATTATACTTGCTAATTGTATTAAATCATATTTTTTATACTAATTATTTTTTTAAAAAAATTTGAATTACTATGTATATTTTTCAAACTACTATACTTAATAAATATATATCATACTAGAATCTAAAAATCAAGATTTTAAATATATAAAATATATAATATTCCTATTAGAACATAATATTATCTGTGTTTTTAGACTTTGAGTAAAGAGATTTTAATAATGATCTGGTTAAATATTTTAAACCTATTTAAAATTCTATTAATTTGTAAAATTTAAAAATAGTTGATTATTGAAAATAAACAGAGAGTTAGTAAGATTTCTTTATCTAAAATTTATAAAAATATGATTAAAAAAACTTTTTATTGTTTTGTTAGCTAACCTAAAAGTTTAATAGAATAATAGATATTATAATAAAAAGTTAATATTTAACAAAAAATACAGTATTATAAAAAATAAAAATTTTTGTGTAGTGGATAATAATTTAACTACAGTAATTTGAAAAGTGCAGTAATTTCTCAAAATAAAATATATTAGATAATACTATATATTATCAAAATATCCAAATTATGCTAGATTTTATGCTAGCAAATATAAATTATGCTAAATTCTGCTGCTAGCATAATCATGCTAGCAAACTTGAATTATGCTAAATTATGCTAGTAGCATAATCCTAAACACCTTAATCAAGTATAGACTACACATATTAAAACCATAGACATCACATGTTTTAAAACGGTAAAAATGTTTTTTTGCCATTCTTAATTTTTACACCCTTGGGTCACATGTATATTATAAAAAAACCAGTATAAATTAAATTTTAAACATATACTATTTATATTACGTATAAGTATATGATTTAGTATATAAAAATTGTATCACCGTTTTTTATATGGCAATTTATATCTAATCAAAGTAAGCTATGCTTGACATCATGATATTTAGTTGCATTAGTTGATCATGTATCGTCTGGCAAAATTTTAGTCAGAAGTGCGATCTCTAATTTTATATATCGGAATCTAAGGTTTTTGAATAGAATTTAATAATAATATATACAAGATTTTATTTATAGGCATTCTAAGAATCGAGTTATGAATTACTGGATAACGTCAATATTATATACTTATTTTTGATTGGGTAATATTAATTAATTACGCGTATTTATTGGTTCATTCCGGTAAGATTATTCTTCCAGTAAAACTTTTCATTGGACCCACTGGAACATGAAAGATCTAGAGGTCCAGTGGGACCCAAACTCCAACCAACAAAATATTGTCCTATGTGTTTATTACGGGCTGACCACGTTTTTGATTACCATTCACTAAAGAATGAACATCTTGCTCTAATGGCATAAATTATTAGTGTTTGTATTCTGCAAGCCAAGTAGGTGAAATAATAATTTATTAAATCATCAAAGGATAAGAATTTAACTCACCAAGATTCCATACCACAGCTTTTAATTCAAGATTCTGTTGATCAAGTCCATCCTAAATTTTAATAATATTGATGATTGTTAATAAAAAAAAATTATAACATCACTAAACTAAAAATGCATCCACTAATCATAATAGTTACATATAGTTTCCGAACTTCACTCCTCAACTCTTTTACTTGATCTGTAGTGGCTGCACTTTCTTGAAGAGCTTTTAGCTCGTCCTCGACTCTTTCAATTTTTTGCGCATAATCACGCACCTAGGACCCATTTAAGACATAAATTTTATTAATTAGTTTGGAATACAATTTAAATAAATAAATATGTAAATGTATGGACATAAATATAAATATATATATGTAAATATATATTAAAATATACATGCACATTATATGAGTGCCGTCAAGGACAAACCTGTCATCAGGCTTTCAATGACCAGTTTGTTTACTGAGTGTCGTCCAGGGAAAATCTATCATCGGGCTTCCAATTATATTTTATGGCGAGTTATTACAAACTATAATTAAAAGCCCGATGATAAATTTTCCATAGACGGCATTCAGTAAACAACTAAACATTGAAAGCCCGATGACAGGTTTTCCCTTGGCGGCACTCATATATACATATGTATACGTCGTAACCAAAATGACAATTTGTCCCAAATGACAATCCGGCCAAATTACAGTATAACCTCGATATAGCGAACACTAATTGTATAACGAAGGTCGTTCCAAATTTTTATATTTAAATTAGCCTCGATATAACGAATCTATAAGAAATTTATATATAACGAAGAAAAACTTCCAGCTCCAGAGCTTCGTTATATCGA